TCTTTTAATGTAAGCGCATGCATTGTCAAACTAAAAAATAAATTACACAAAAAAGGCTTTGYTTAAATAGCATAGGTCTTTTCTATTGTAAACCAAACCTATAAAACTGCTTGCATTTGCAAATTTCTGTTACCATTAATCTACTGCTTTGGTTGTATGCAATCAAATTTTTGTATGGTGGTGACTATAGAGGCTAATTTTCTTTCTTTTTTTTTTTCATATAACAAATGTGAGACAGAATATTTTCTACAATTTTATAATTTCTCTATATGGTTATATTTTTAAATAATATGTTATAGTCAGACTGCTGGACACCAATGACCCGGAAATGATGAAGCAGGTAAGAGGATGGATGGATAAAGATCACCTGACTTGCAGTATCATTATTTAACTGAAGGTGGCAGCAGTGTGCCTTTTGGACTTTAATCTGCCACGAGTTTTAAATCTCGCGAGGAAGACGTTAGACGCGTTCTGATTGGCTCTTTGTGAATTCGTTTCAAACATGGCAGAAACACGAAGAGATGGGGCGCAGTGTGGACCGCATTTTCAGAAAAAAAGAATAAAATACAGCCCAGAAGAGGAGGCCGACCTCGAAAAACAGCATTTCTGGAGAATAATCGATGCTTTTAGGTTTTACAGGTAGAAGAAATGTGTTTTTGTTCACAAAGAGAGGACGGCAGCATTAGTTAGCGGCATATGCCTTTGTTATTTCCTTAGCTCAGTTAACTTAGGCTTTATTCAGGCATTCATTGCTTTCTGCTCCGTAGATTAATCTTGTGTTAAGCGGAATCGTTTATTTACTCCATAGTTTCGTTTATTATTGTCCTATAACAACAACAACTAATTAATTTAGAACATACCGAAAGAAATTTGAATTTTTAACTTTTAGTTTCATACATAACTTTGTCTACGTTTTGACATGTAAACCAAAGGTTGAGTAAAAATATACACTATTCAATAAACCTAATAAGAACAAACATTAGGAAGACAAAAATGCCTACACAGTAATGTTAAAAATAAACAAGAGTTGTGGGAGGAAGGGGAGAGTTTTTACAAATTAAGTTTGTTACGCTAAGAAACAATTTCTGTGGTAAGATGAAAATATAAATTTGAAAACTTGAGTCTTGAATGTGTTGAAACCATTAAAGATATTAAAATGCCAAGTCTTTCAATTAAAGTTAAAATTTTTAAACAATTTAAACTTTCAATAATATCTGCTGGGAATTAAGCCTTCAATATAGACCTTTGTGGAGGGCTGGGTTTTCTTAATGTTAAAGTCCTTTGTTGTCTGGATTTAATATTAAAATGCATTTTTATGTGAATGTCATCTAAGTTGTTGAAATATTGCCACCAGAAGTTATAGGACTGAGCCACATATTTTAATAGATTTTCATATGGGTGTTATTAAGGTCAGAGGAGCGTTTGTGAATCAAAAATCATGATGAATGTAAAAGTAACTACACAGAGAAAAGAGAATGCATATGAGGCTGAGAACTAAATGTTTCTTTTCTCTTTCAGAGTCCATGTCCAGGAGCAGGTCAAACGAGCTGAGCTACAGTTTTGGAGCCTCTCACAAAGGCACCAGGCTATGCTGCCAGATGTTCTGTCCAACCTGGCCCGGGTCAAAGAGTGCGCCAAACACAATCAGGAGATCCTGGAGGCCATCGTTCACAACAGCCTCCACATGTTTGAGAACGTGGAGTATGGTGACAGGGTAAGACTTCACTTACACTGGGAACAGACGCTGCGTACCCACAGAGAGACTGCATGTTAATACCATGCGATGTCATGTTATTTAGCTTTTTAAAAATGTTTATTTTAGCAGGTGGATCCGAGGAAGGTGCGCTCATCGTCCACGTTCGACATGGACAAACTGAAATCCACTATAAAGCAGTTTGTCAGAGACTGGAGTGAAGCGGGCCAGGCTGAGAGAGACTCCTGCTACAGACCCATAATACAAGAGATACAGAGACTTTTCCCAAGTGACCAATAGTAGGAATTGTACACGAACACGCTGACAAACACACACACAGCTACACAGAGCTGCATAATGATGCTGTTAACACAGTAGAGGTAGCATGTTGCGGTAATCACTCACTGTCTTTTTGTTGTGCTTAGGTTTTTAAGAGCATTTTGTCTTAGAATATGTGTGATTTACTCAGTCTTTTCTATGTGATATGTGCATTTTGTGCATTTTATTATATCAGTGATGTGTCTAAGGTGAGCGTGCTGATTCCGGGAGCTGGGCTTGGTCGCCTTGCCTGGGAGATAGCTCAGCTGGGTTACATGTGTCAGGGCAACGAGTGGAGCTTCTTTATGCTCTTCTCCTCAAACTTTGTTCTCAACAGGTAACGCATGCATTCGCTGTGACTTGAACCACTCGTTATTTATTTTTGCATCTTTTTTTTGTGGATAAAATTGTCAAATGCATCTRTTTATAATCAAAAGGTTGCATGTTCTTTAAACTCAGCTAGTGTGTCTGTCGATGAAACTCTTTGCTGCGTGTTCTGCAGGATAATGCTTCGCATTAGCTGATTGCTTTGAACWTCTTCATTTAGGTGTGAAAAGGTGAATGCTCTGACTCTGTATCCCTGGATTCATCAGTTCAGCAACAACAAAAAGTCCTCTGACCAAACACGACCAATCAGATTCCCAGATGTGAACCCCCAGAGCTTGCCTCCGAGTTCAGACTTCTCCATGGTAGCAGGGGACTTTGTGGAAGTTTACACTGAACCAGGTATACGAATTAGAATAGATCTTTATTTCAAAACAGACATAAAACTAACAAAACAGGTGTGTGTATATATAGGCCTGTCAAGATAACAAATTTTACTGGTCGATAAATTGGCTCAGAAATTATTGCGATAAACGATAATAGTGTTAGAGACCATTTTAAACTAATATAATGATATAACAACCCCTGTTTACGAAAGTTTCTGTTAAAATTTACATAGTGTAAAAAGAAAAAAAACAGCTGTCTGCAATCCCAAGGCGTCGCCAGCTGTATGGTGTCAGAAAACTGAAGAGGCTCCTCTGGCTAAATGCCTGTTCACAGGCTTTCATGCTACAGAGGTTGGAGACCACGTGCCTGGCAAATACCTGACACCAGAGTTCACTTCTCTCTACACTAAGAAGTAAAAGAGAGGGAGACACGAAAAAAAAAAAACAAAGCAGGCAAATGAAAATCATTGTCTTCATTTTAATTTATCTTCCTCAGTTTAATTTATAATACGATTAATTGATTTATTGTTTATTGTGACAGGCCTATGTATATACACATACAGAAATATACATTTTGTCCGACTAACAAGGCCGTCTATGAAAAGGAGTAGGTTAAAATAAAGCTTAACTCACCCCTTCCTCACTTTTCAGTTAATATTATTCAGATTTTTATTTTTGTTAAACCTTCTTTATCTCATTTATAGCAGAGATGAACAACAAAAGCATATTTATTTAACAGCACAGTGTTTCACCCCATCTAAATATCATCTACGTCCCTCATCCGCCATATAACAACTCATAATGCCTTTTTTAGTTTTATGTTTTTAAAACTGGTTGATATTTTTTTACGTTTCTTCAGTTCATTATTCCATAAATCCACCCCACACACAGACACGCACATACTTTTCCCCGTGTTACAAACACTGTTTAATTTTAACCCCTCGTAATTCATAGCTTCTCACTCTATTACAAAACATTCTGAAGATTTTCTAGAATTTCTTTACTTGCTTTAAATGTAAATTGTGCAGTTTTTAATTGAATCAAATCATAAAATTTCAATATACTTGACTTTTAAAAATAGTGTTTTTGTGCTGCCAAAACCCCACTGTATGATTTATCCTAATTGTTCTCTTTTGTAGCTTGGGAAGTGGTTGTAGGTTGCTTTTGTTGTTAGGTTAAGCATAAGTTTAGCTGTCTCAGGTAATATGTAAGTTAATAAGAAATATTAGAATCTCTTAGTAATGTTATTTAAAAGTTGTTTTTGTGTGTTTCCTTCAGAGTCCTGGGACTGTGTGGCCACATGCTTCTTTATAGACACAGCTCATAATGTCTTAGAGTACTTGGACACCATCTGGAAGATACTTAAGCCTGGAGGTGTATGGATCAACCTTGGTGAGCCTGCATTTATTTAAATAAACACTCCTGAAATACACATCAACAAAAAGTGAGCCAGACCTCAGTAACTGTAGCTGCAGTCATTTTAAAATAACATCTTCCTTACAGTTCTAAAGATTTATATATTTAGAAACAATAAAGCAAATAACTCTCTCCTTAAAGTTTTCAAATATTTGTCAGTAGAGTGATAATGTGTGGTTTTCTTTGTTTTAAATATATTTTAAAACCAGGTTATTTATTGGCTGTAAATTATTGTTAATGTTTGCTGTGTTTAAGGTCCCCTTCTGTATCACTTTGAGAACATGGTCAACGAGCTCTCTATTGAACTTAGCTACGAGGACATAAGGACAGCGATAGTAAAGCTGGGCTTCCTCATTGAGGTAAATAAGAGCTTTAGGTCATTTTTATCAGTTGACATCATGTTTATGTGTTTGATGATGTTTGTTTCTCATACAGGTGGAGAAAGAGTCCATGCAGACCACCTACACAGAAAACGAGTGCTCCATGCTAAGATATGTCTACGACTGCGTCTTCTTTGTGGCACGGAAACCTAAAGAGCTGCACTTGAACGGTCAAGACGACGGGCAACAACAAAGCTTTCTCCCTTCTGCAAAGTCCTCGTGGCAAGAATGCAGCAACAGACTAACGTGACATGAATTTCATTTAGTTTTGACCAAAAATGACCTTATTAGATGAAATTAAATGTTGACTTCAGTTGAAAAGGTTTGATTTGTCATAAAGCAAAATGGGCTCTCAAAAGTGGACAAAGTTTCACCCCAAGAGATAAAACAAAACAAAACTGAACATGAATCCCCATTTTGTCTCATTTGGAAAAAGGTTTTCAACTACCTGGGTTGTTTTTAATTGCCTGAGCATCGAAATGCACTCTGCATTTATGTAGAATATGATATAAGGAAGTCCAGTTGGCTGATTTTACAGATGTTTTGTGTTGAAAGAGTGGGAAGGCTTGTGCAATGACAAGTCCATTTAGAAGATGTTCTGGTCGTTCACCTCTGCGATAGTGTAAAGCAGGCCTTTTATTACATCAGTACTTTACTTACTCTTTCAGTCAAATCATCTTCCATGAAATAAGCCCATCACTTAGCATTTTTAGAAGGGTTGAATGAAGAGTTTGCCTTACTAAACTACTTTTTACTCCATTCATCATCTTTTGCCACAATGTATGTGTATAAATATGTGTGGTCTTGAAATTTTGAACTTTTATTTATTCTTTTGGCGCCAATGACTAAAAAAAGATTTTTGTTAATTGGTCACCTTTTAGTTTTAAGGCATAAAGTATTGCAGTACTGTACATGAGTTTTTTTTTCTATTTGTCTGCTTTCAAGTCATACTTTGAAATAAAGCCAAGCATTTTTGAAATTCGTGGGTTTTATTAAATAAATTTACGTATAAAAATCGTTTAAAAACCTTGAGAACTTCTGTATTTCAGAACTTGCATGTGCCTGAACGCACTATATTTTTTAAAGGCCTGTAATGGGCCCGCCACCGGAAATGTTGTAGTGGTGGGCGGGCTTAAGGCAGAAGTGCTGTCTTCTGATTGGCGCTTTCTGCTTCACGATAATCCCACTACCGGTTTTCACCGTGTTTTGCACACACTCGTGCGCACATCTACAGTAAACAGAAGTTCTGGTTGAAGCGCCTTAAAGCGTAGACTTTATGGCCAAGAGACGCGCTGAGAACACGCTGCTGCTCGACTCTCCCGGCAAAAGAAAATACAGCCGGCCGCTCTGCAGCGTTGACCTGCAGCTGGAGAGCAGCGCGTCTCCGACCGTCGCGGGTGTGAGTCCGCCGTCCCTGCTAGCCTTGCTGGGAAGTCGCTGCAGAAAAAGATCGCACTTTTTCGAAAACGAGGAGCAGCCCGGAGAAGCAACCTCGCCTCTCAAGAGCTCACTCTGCGTCTCAAAGAAGGCTGCTGCGGATGTTTTGACGGAACGGGTTTCTGGAAGCTTCCAGGACCGTCGTCAGACCAGCTCCTGCACAGTCACAAACAAGAAGAAACGAGCCCGACAGGACAGCCGGTGTTCAGACACTGTTCTGTCTACAGTTGGTGATAAAGTAGGTTACACAATGCCTGGCTTTAGTTTCAAAGCATAAAGATGATGAACTTTCCTCCGTGGAAAAGTAACTTATAATGTAATGTGTGTAAATGTCCACCAGATGTCGCTACTTTCTCAGAGTAACTTATAATGTAATGTGTGTAAATGTCCACCAGATGTCGCTACTTTCTCACTATAGAGCACGTTTCTGGTCCATATAATGAGTTATCTGACCATTTGAATTTACAGTAAATTAACAATATTATCAAATGTGTCTCACATGTTTACATTTAATTTGATATTTTCTTACAGACAGCGGAAGACACTCCTACTGAAGACAGCATGTACAACTCATTCCAGTATTGGAGAGTCCCCTTACCTGAGCTGGACCTCTCACTGCTGGACGATCCCAGTGATGATTCACAAACAAAAACCAACACAGTAGTCTCATCTTCTGATGCTATGGAGACCTGAAGGTGATAGGCACAGCAAGTCTGGTATTTGCTACGATGCTTATGTTGGTGTCCGATTGTTGCTTCCGATTTGGGAAATGGCTAAAGGGCAGTTTCTCCTACCGGTAATTATTCACCACTTTGAGCATTTTAAATCTGCACTATCTTAAAAATTAAAATACTTAGACTCTTCAACAGGACTAGATTATTCTACACTGATTTCAGAATAGTTGAAACCAAGTTTTAGTTTTGTGAAACTTAAGTAATGGGCCATATTCATACTTTTTTTGCATTTGGAGCACACTAGTCCTTGTCGAGATTCAAAACTACAACCTAGACTCTTCAAACCTGGACTACATTAGTTATACTAATAGCAGAATATTTAAAACCACGTTTGAGGTTTGTGACACTTTTCTTGGATTTGTAAAACTTCAATATAGCCAATTCACAACACGTCATGTCAAGGCACTCTATGAATAATGGTAATTCAAATCCAATCAGACATACATTCCAATTAATCTTTTACTTTTCCATCATCATGGAGCCACAGGGGACAACCCTCTGCATTTTACCAAGCATGTGTGTAGCAACAATGGAGAGGAAAAGCGCCCTTTACATTGGAAGCAACCTGCACCGTGATCAGCTGGGGAGCAGATACACAACACTGAAGCAGAAGCATTGAAGTAGGAGTTGTTAAAGAAAAGCAAAATCAACATCAGGAAAAGGGAGAACGTTAAATTGTTGATAGCATTTTCTCAGCTGATGCCCCCCTACATGAAGGTATCATAGCTAAACATAATTCAAGACCACATCCAGCTATAATGAAGAAAAAAAGTTAAAAGTTGAAATAACAACAAATGGTGCAAATTGGAGATAGGATAGGGAGGGGTTGAGTTCTAGTGTTGTACAGATGCATAACAAAGCACCTTTTATTGAAGTTTAACAAATTCCAAAATTGGTTTTAAATATTCTGCTTTAAGTCCAGGTTTGAAGAGTCTAGATGTAGGTTTGCATCTGTGCCAGGTCTAGTGTGATCCAGATACAAAGTGCTGAAGAGCTTTTATTGAAGTTTAACAAATCCAATAAAGGTTTCACAAATCTCAAACTTGGTTTTGAATATTTTACTATAAGTGTAGAATAATCTAATCTAGGTTTGACGTGTCTTACATTTTAATTTTTAATCTAAAGCAAGATTAAAGATGCTCAAGGTAGTGGAAAATGTCGGTGGAAATGCCCATGCCCTTTGGCCATTTTCCATATTGTGAGCTATGATCTGAAACTAACTTCAGCGTTGTGTATTTGCTGCACTGTTGTAATCAGGCAAACAACGAGGTATATCAGTGGTATATACCTCATTGTAGACAAACCTGACGAGGGAAGTGTGAGAAAGCAGACTGACACATCAAGACCATCCAATGTACATGTGGAAAAAAAGCACATGGATCCCTCAAAGTTGAAAATTAGGGAGCCTCAAGCTGTCAGCAGCTGAACTCATGATTTTGTGGCGACCATAATAAAAGCCTGTGGAAAACTAATCGCTTTTCTTTTCTTTTTAAATATATTTAAATAGTTCTAATCAGAATAATAGTTTTTCATACATGTTCAAATGTGAGGTTGGTTGTCAGTAGTTGCCATCAGATCATTTTAATTGTAAATGCTGGTTTTGGAGAACAATATACGTATAACTAACAAACCCCTGGAGTTTGTAGTTTTTGATGCTGTATTTGCACTGTTTTAATTTGAAATAAAACCATTTTATATATTTCTGTTTTTGTGTGTTTTCTCTGTGTTTCAGGGACATTTTAAGGGGGAAAAAAACTAGTACTAAAACACAAAACGTGCCTTCTGAGCTGAGTAAAACAAAAATTCAGACATGTTTGTGTTCAGTAGTTTTTTCTGAGACCTGAGGAGACAGCACCTCCACCAGTTGTTCCGGAGGTGAAAGTGTGTGTTTTATTAGGAGGTCATGAGCTCCTTCAAGGCTTCTTGGAAAGGCTCGGTGCCCTTTGGACCTGCAGCTGATAAAAAAGCAATGATGGGGAGAAGGGATTTGAAGGAAGGTCTGTAAACGTTTTGAACACGGTTTAACCGCAGAGCACCGTCATGGTAAGTTCAACAGAGGAAAATAAATTATGTAAATTAACTAAAGTGAGCTTTTCTTCACCGGGTGTGTCTGCAGGAAGCTGCGTGAAAACCTGACCCAGGTTATTTACTAAATCAGCAGATGTTAGCAATTAGCTAACTCGCGTTAGCTTTGGTTTGAATGTTAGTTAACCAGAAACCACATAACTTATTACTGAACTTTTGAGTGTAACATACAGATTTAAATTTGAATTTTAAATAATTTATTTAATTGTGCCAACTTTTCGTTTAGTTGCAAAGAAAGCTTGAAATTGATATTTGTGATTGAAATAAATGTTAAAATCCCAATTAAACAGAATGTATAACTTGTATATTGGTTCTGTAATAAAAGTTGAAGAATATCAACACATAATCATATGTTGTAATTTGCTCAATTTTATGGAATACATCTGTAATCAAAATTCTTAAATTCAAATTTTAGGTTTTAAAATGTAAACTCATTCATTTGTAATTAGAAAAACGAAATTAACGAGGAGAAAAAGAGATTGAGAAATTTTTTATTTCACAATAGGCCACCAATGACATTGTATTGTAAACAGAGGTTCAGAGTTTAACACATAAGCACGCCGCTATAGGAAGGAGAAAAAAAAAAAAAACACCATTGCAATAAAACATTTTAGAGGCTTGAGGACTATGACAAATGAAAATTTCCACGCTACAAAGACGATTAAAAGCATTGTTTTGTAGCTTTTAGTAAAGTAAAGTAAAATGCAAGTGTCTTCGTACATGTCCTGATGCATCTCAGTAATCCAGGTAGAAAAAATCAAGAAGAAAAAATAGGTCCTCTGGATGGTTTCTTTAGTGAAACATTTCGTCTCTCCTCTAACAGACTTCTTCAGTCTGAGAGTTTCAGGTGAACTCAGCCTTATAAGCACTGCCTCCACATGGTGGACAAACAGGTTGGTCACATGCAAAAGAGGGCCATCGCCTAACAATAGGCTTGATTAGCTCTACTGTTCATAGAGGGTCATGCGCCCCAACACCTGAGTATCGCTGGGGCCCTGATTCACACCTTTTGCTCACAGGGGGCTGAGTCATACTTGCAATAACAGCATTGTAGGAGGAGGACAACTGAAAACGGAGGCCTCCACCTCTATTTAATGGTGGATGGTTTTTCTTCACAAAGATGGCTTCCTTTATTCCTCTCTCAAACCAACGTTCCTCTCTATCAAGGATGAGAACATCTTCATCCCTGAAAGAGTGACCGCTGGCCTGTAGATGAGTCTAAACTGCAGAGTCCTGACCTGATGATGTAGCTCGTCTGTGCTGGCTCATTCTTTTGAACAGTGGCTGTTTTGTTTCCCCATTATATGACTGATCACAGTCCTCCTGGCACTTAACAGCATATACTAATATTACTCTGTTTTTGCAGGGGAACTGGATAAAAATAAAAACAAAAATACAAAAACAAACAAACAAACAAACAAACATGAAAACACATAAAACTTCTTCATCTAATTGCTCACACTTACAGTTGATATTATAAATGAAACGTGTCAGAGATTTTCTGACTGAATATTTAAATTGTTATTTATTAAGTAGGACACATCACTGACATGAATAGCAGTGTTGCCAGATCTCACGAGAAACAAGTAACCAGCTGAAAACAAGCCCCGGCAGCAGACCGGGGAACGGGGCGGGGTCAGACAGTAGGCGGCGCAGACGTCTGACCCCGCCCTCAACTCTTAATTAATTAATTAACCAACCCCAGATGCTAAATTCTAAAGTGAACCACTCCCAATGTTTCAAGTGTCACATTAACACCACGCTCCAGACAAGCCCCTCACTCTTTATTATATTTTCCCCATATTTTCTCTGCTTATTGCAACTCATTCTCACTGTTTTGTCACTTATATCCAGAGGTGAAAAAGTAGTTTTTGCTCCGACCAAAAGAAAAAAAAAATCTGGCTGATATTGATCTCTCTCTCTCGCTCAGTTCATGAAATTTAATCAGCAAATTCCAAACAAATTAAAACGTATCAATATTTTACTGTACTCTACTTGTATCCCAATTCACGGAGCGTTTTTTTTTTTTATGTGTGCACCACCTGTGTAAAATGTCCCTGTCCATTAAATCAAGCGCACCAATCCCCACTGTTTTGGAAACAGGGTGTCCGCGGGTCCTTGAAAAGTTTTATTTATGTTTCTAAAATAAGGGTCTTTAAAAGTATTGAATTCATGAATAATGTGTAAGTTAGTCTTGAATACGTTAGTCAAGGGTCTTAAGTTTTGTCAGGCAGGACGGATTTAAGTTATTCGTCTCCGCTGCGGATTTCCTAAAAGTGAGGAGAGGACTGGATTCGAGGAGGAGAGGGAAAAAAAAGTTGGGGTCTTTTATCCGGCTGGATTTGACTGACGCTGATTTCAACCAATAAAGAGAAAGAGAGTCACTGTTTTAGCCAATCAGAGCAGAGAAGGGCGGGTCTTACAGTCTGTAACAGAGACTGCAGGAGTAAACATCGTTTTCTTTCTACTTTTTTCAAAGATGAAGCCTCAACCCGCTACCCTAACAGAACCGTCCGTCGCCCTATGAAGGTGAAGTAATGTAATAAATTATTAAACATTTAAGAATTAAACGCATGTGTTCGCGCATGAGCACTCCATTTCAACCAGCGGCGCATACCTGGTACACCGTTACACCCAGCCCACCCATCCTCCCGGACCGAGCCCCGACCTAGTTAGTCTAACTTTTAATGTGTTCCGAGCTTCACCGTTATCTTACAGGCATGTTTAAAGACACGTGTAAATTGAGCGCGTGGCTCTTTCTTCTGTATATTAATGACTACTAGGATTTCTAAATTGCTTAAGTCAATTTTATTTGCAGATTATACTTTTTTTCTGAAGAAAATATTAGAAAGGTGTTAAATGTGGTTAAAATTGAATTTAAAAAAATAAAAAAAGTTTTAATAGTAATAAATTATCCCTAAATATTGATAAGACAAAGTTTACGATATTTTGTAGGACTAACAAAAGTATTGATGAAGGTTGTGCAATACAAAAAACAGAAGAAATTAAGTTTTGGGGGTTCTAATTGACAAACATTTGTCATGGAAATCTTATATAAATTATATAAAAGGTAAAATATCTAAAACAATTTCTGTGATAAATAGGGGAAAGGATAAATTAAATAAAAAGGCTTTGGATATTTTGTATAACTCACTGCTTGTACCATGACGTATTGTGTGGAGGGATGAGGTAATGCCTGTAAAACATATATAAATTCAATCTTTCTCTTACAGAAAAGAGCTGTTAGAGTTATCACTGGAGCTGGATTCAGAGATCATACAAACCCCATATTTACTGAAGGTTAATGATTTCATTGAGTACAATATCTTAAAATTCATGTACAGAGTTCATAAAAATATGTTACCTAACAATATCCATAGCAGATTTATCAAAAGAGAGATTATATATAAAATGTGTTGAGACTTTTGAAAAACAGATTCAGAACTGTATTAAAGGGAAGATGTATCTCAGTTAAGGGTGTTAGTTTGTGGAACGGTCTTGATAGTGAGATAAATCAGTCAAAATCTTTTTTTGTATTAAAAAACTTGAAAATTACAATGATGAAGTGTTATAATATTGTCTAAAGTATTGTTTTGTTATAATTTTGTGTGTTGAGTTACTTTTGTCGTATGCTGACGGTGAACTTTTGAGTTGGTGGTTGATTTTTATTTTGCGAGTACACTGTAAGAAAAAAATAACTGAGATTATTAAAAAAAACAAAGCAACCTTCTGCAGTAAGAATTTTGAGTTTTCTCAATGGTTTGCCATCCAATTGTCCCAAGTATAATTTCATCGTTGAGCCAATTATATTTATGTTGTTTGCTTAATTCTCTCAATTTCCAAATCTTAATTTTGCCAATTTAAATTTGATTACTGTCTGAATGGAGCCATTCATAAAATTACAAAAAGCTAATGGACCACATATAAAATTTTAATTATGGTCAATTAATTTAACCTGCCAGAATAATTACAGGAAGAATTCATGTTTTTTTTTTGTTACTTTATTGAACTGTTAACCAATACATACAAATGTTTAAAACCATTCAATGTTTTCAGTAACAGAAATTGGATATTTTTGGTTTCTCATTTTAACATTTGGTTCAAACAAGCAGCTCATCAAACAAGAATGACAATGAGAA